TTTTTTTTTTTTTTTTTTTAATGGAAGAATTTGAATCTTGAGTCTTAACTTTCTGTATTTTTTTTCTTCGCATCTTTTGTTTCTTGGTTGCTATATTAATCTGTTCGATTTGAGAAGATTTTTATTGGGTACATTCTTGTTGCATGCATATTTTCTTTCTTCATCTGCTTTTCTCCAGTTCTGCTTGTCCCCCTAGTTTCATGGCTGTTTCTTTTTTATCAGAGTAGTTTAGTAGAACCAATTACCATTGTTAAGTTAGTCACTGTTTTTGTTCCCCTGAACTTGGATTTGAAAGTTGCTGCTTGGGTGATGATCTAGGTATTAATGAAATAGTTATTTTTTGGCTATGGTAATCTAAGATAATGAACATATATATATATATTTAGTTAAATGCTAAATTTGGTCCCTCAACTTTAGTGAGTTGCACAATTTTGGTCCCTCAACAATTTTTTGCACTTTTTTGATCCCTCAACTATACAAAATGCTCTCCGTTAATCCTCCTGTTAATTTGGGTCGTTAACTCGGCCACATGGCATTTTTTATATTTTTTTGATGACATGGTGAACACAACTTAAAAAAATGCTTATCTGGACTTTTTTTCTTTTTTTTTTGATGATGTGTCATCTTCTTTACGTTAAACCCCTCCAATGGATCTCAGTTGCCTACAAACTGGTCTCTCATCTTCACCCTCTGCAAAATCGATCTTAACCCATTTCTTTTTATTCTCTGAATGCTTTGTCATCTCCACTCCATTTGCAAAATCGATCTTAACCCATTTCTTCTTCTTCCGTGAATGCTCTCTCATCTCCACTCCATCTACAAAACCGATCTTAACCCACCCATTTCTTCTTCTTCTCTTTTCTCGGGGAAACTTGAGCTACTGGGTTTCATTGAAACCTCAAACTTGGCAGATCTTGTCAAATCAAAATAACCCTTCAATAAACAATACCAATCAAACTCTAATCGAATTTCAACAAAAATACAATCAAACTTTAATCAAATTCCAACAAAAATGCAATCAAATTATAAATCAATCTCCAAATTTATTAACAATTGGAAATGGAAATAGAAAGAAGAATGAAAAAATAAGAACCCAGCTTTCCCAGCAATGTTGGGTTTCCACCAAACCCAGCCTATCCCAGGGTAGGAAAGAAAGAAAGAAGAGGAAGAAGAGGGATTGGGAGGGTGAGGGTGAGGGTAATAAGGTAATTTTATATGTTTTTAATTAAAATATGTATATTAATCTATGTGGCATTTTTATTTATTTATATAACACAATTATAATATATATTATTGTCACATCATTCAAAAAATTAAAAAACCAATGCCACATGAAATTGTTTAACTGCCACATCATACTTAACTAACGGAGGGACCAAAACTGTGCAATTTTTAGAGTCAAGGGATCAAAAAAGTGCAAAAAATTGTTAAGGGACCAAAAATGTGCATTTCATAAAGTTGAGGGACTAAATTTAGCATTTAACCTATTTTTTTTGGTTAAAAAAGGTAAATTCCGTTTTCAAAACAAAAAGGTTTTTTTGGGATTTGCAATTCTCTTTGAAAGGCATTAGATCAAAAAAATAAAATAAAATAAAATAGAAACCAAAAAAACAAAAAAGGAAACGATGATAGATTCTTTGTTCTCTTAGAAGTATTTTTTTTTTGTTTAGTATTATTATTGTTATTATTATTATTATTATTATTATTATTTCTTTATTGGTAATTATTATTTTGATATAAAATTGAAAAGTCTCTGAAATTAAAGTAGGTGGTAACTATATTATATGGAAGTTGTGGAGTGCCTAATACCTTCCCCATGCTTAACCGACCCACCGACCTTAGTCAATTTCTATGTAAACCTTGATGATCTATCCCATCTCATTTGGATAGGTGGCGACTCCATCTATTTTGGCACGTCAACAGTTTGGTGACTCCATTGGGGATACTTGAGGGGTTAAGCCATTTATACTTTAATTTTGAAGTTTTTCAATTACTAACTTTTGTGTTGTAGGTGGCATGGAATACCTTGCAAGTTCTTATTTTGTTATTTTATATTTTTGTTATTTTCATATGTTAATTTTATGTACATACTCACTCACACATCTCACTTGCATATCATTTTGTCCTTGATGAGGTGAACCCGACCTCTAGATAGATGAATAACTCATGGAACAATGAAAAGTGCAATGCTTTCCTTGTGAAGTGGGATTTATCTCTTTTAGGTTCATTTTGTGGGTTAATATGACTTGATAGCCATAATGCTGCTACTGTATTAGGTCATTAAATGCCTCTAGTTAACTTTATAGAAGTTGACAATTGTTGACTTTATGGAAGCCAATAATTGTTGACTTATGGAAGCTAGTAGTTGAAAAAGCCCAATTGTATAAGATCCACTAGGAAACTACATGTAATGGAATTAGATAAAAATTTAACCAAGGACGGCCAGCCTAGTAAACCACCTTCTAAGTTTAGGAACCTTATACATAGGACACATAGGAAGTATTTTATTTTTTTAGACAATGTTTTGTAGGTTTGGAATTCGACTAAGAGGAATGAAATTTCTTAACTCTCCTTTTTCTTTTCTTTAATAAATAGGTAATTGATTATTTTACACATGGATTTTTTGGAGAAAACAAAATCAACAAGAGGAAAAGGGTGAATTTAGAGTTAGAATGTCTGCCATTATCCAAGAGGAACAAGTCACACAATGATGGATTCTCTGTGCAAACCAAAAGACCTTGTGTAAAAGATTTGGCTACTACTTGGAATAATCTAAGTAATCTTGACAAAGTGAGGTTTAACAAGAGATTTGGTAGAATAGTTGATGTCTTGCAAGTGGAGTGGACTAGGAAATCATTAGGGCAATCCTAAGATTTTATGTCCTGCACCTTCGTTGCTTTGTTTTTTCTTCTTCTTCTTTTTTTCTGAGTTTAAATTTGTAATCACCATTGAAAAATATTTTCAATTATTATTTAGTCACCCAACAATGAATTCAAAAGTTGATCAATGGAATCTATTTTGAAATTGTTGAGGTTGAGCATTTGAAGTCAAATTTCACATTTTCTTGAATTCTATTTGTTGAGAAAAACCAAGTTCCTCAATATAAGAGAAAAGATATGAAGGAGGCAATCTTCTCATTATTTTTCTTTAAAAAAAAAAAAATCAAAAAGGTCATGAAAGAGGCAATCTCCTCATGTTTCTGGCTTGTGTGACAGTTACTTGTCTCTAATTTCTCCTTCCCTTTACATGCAAGTGGCTAAAGTTGTTCTTGGCAATGAAGAATCCATGTGTAAAATAATTAATTAGAAGATAGATTTACTCATTGATTTTATCTAGTGGAAACTTTGGGAACTTCTCTTTCAAAATGCTAATTAGATAAATCTCTGATTTGTTAATAATGCTTATATTTCTTCGAGTGTTGAAAGATTGGTCTTAAAAGGAATTATCCAAGAGTTCATTCACCTATTCTCACTAGAGCTCTTGCAAAGAAGATGGCTGACGAAGCTAATTTAGAGAAGGGAGCTCTTGAAAATTGTGTTGAAAATATGGAAAATACTTAGAAGGAATTGATGCCTTCCAATCTCTTCAAGCAACCTTAGTCACAAGGGCACCTTTGACAACAAATCCTTTGTTTGAAGGAAATGTATTGGTGGTAAATCTCCCTATGGCCACATCTGCTCTAGGAAAGGAGCCAATGTCATCTTGCCCACCTAATCCAACTATTGTGGGAGCTTCTGGGACAAAACCATTCGTTCTAAATACTGATGTTACTGTAGTTCAATCTAATGATCAAGGAGAGACTCAAGTTGTCAAGTCAATCACAGAGGATGAAGATAAGGCAATTAAAGCAAAGGTGTAGTTGATGAAGGAAACACTAAAATTGATGCAAGGTGTCCAAACCAATAAACCGAGTAAGATCTCATCTTTGTGCTTTTTCCCAAACATTCAATTGCCCCATAAGTTTAAATTGCCTAAATTTGATAAGTACAACGGCACCGGTTGTCCTTATGCTCACTTAATGACGTATTATAGGAAGATGGCTCCTTATGCTAATGATGAGAAGCTAATGAGACATTACTTTCAGGACAGTCTGACAGGTCTTGCAGATGCTTGGTTCTCTACTTTAGACAAAAGTAAGGTCAAAAGTTGGCATGATTTGGCTTACAATTTCATGAAGCAATATGAATACAATACATCACTAGCTCCTAATAGAGAAGATCTTCAAAGGACAGAGAAGAAATTGAGTGAAAGCTTTAAGGAATTTGCTCAAAGATGGCGTGGATTGGCTGCTCGAGTTCAACCGCCACTAATTGATCATGAACTAAGTAATTTATTCATTAAGTCAACCAAAGGGCCTTATTGTGAGAAGTTAATAACTTGTGTGAATTACACTTTTGCTCAGTTGGTTGTTGTGGGAGAACAAGTGGAAGATGGAATCAAGTCTAGAATCATTATTGATTATCAAGCAATGAAGAATATCCTTGAACAATACCAAAATGGTAGTTTAGGGGTTTCAAGTTCAAGGAAAGTTGGCCAAAATCGCAAGAAAGAAAATGACACTGGCACCATTAGCTCAGTTTATGAGACGTATATGAGAAATAATCAGCCATGTCCTCAAGGGTAATTCAATAATCCTTTCCAAGCTTCAACTTATCAACCGTCAATTTTTACAAGTCAGCCAAGGCCACTTTATGCCTCTGGGATCAATTGCCCACAACAAGAAAGAGTGAGACGACATTTCGACAAGCTTCCTTTGTCATATGCTAAAGTGTTTCGACAGTTGATAACAGCTAGGCTTATTACCCCTATACCTATGGTGCCATTAAATCCACCATTTCCAATATGGTACAACCCACAAGCAAGATATGAATACCATAGTGGAGGTGTAGGGCATGACCTTGAAAATTGTCTTGCTTTAAAGCACCGTATCCAAGATTTGATAGAGGAAAAAGAGTTACAAATGGCATCAGAACCTGAGGTTGTTGGTCCAAATATCACCAAAAACCCTTTACCAACACATGATGGTCCAATAGTTAATATGATCGAGAAAGACTTTGATAAAGGTCATGAGGTGATTACGTCAACAAATAATGATGGTTTGAGCACTTCTTTTGAGAAGTTAAGTATATGCGTCATTGATGAAGGGATGGATGATGACAAGGTTACTCTTCCTGCTCATGGTGAAGCTTTGGACATGGGACAGTAGAGATTCTTCCTATTCCTATCATTAAATCGAAAGATGTGTCAATTTTCTTGTGGTTGAGCTTGTGACCATGAGAGGAGATGGTTAAAACAAGCCTTTTATATTTTATGAAACATTGTAGGAATGACAAATAATGTTCCATTTAGTTCATTTCAAACAATGATGTTACTTTCATTTTCATTCCCTCTCTTCATGTGCAAGATTGTTCATTTTCTTTTGCTTTATTAAATTCTCTCATGCTAGCCAAAATTTCCATCTCCAGGTTTGCTAATAATAAATGCATAAATAGTGATATCATTCTTGAACTTACACATAGTTTTGATGAACTAATTTATTCTATGGAAAATGATGAAGAATTAGAACCTTTTCTTGAATTGATTGAAATTTTAAAAGAAGAAGAACCTAAATTGCAGCCTAATCAGAATGGCTATAGCATAAAATAGGGAGGTCAAGCCTCGAAGGTTTCAAGCAAAAAATGTTGTTTTCTACCCAATGAGAGGAATCCAAGGCGAAAATTTGCTCCAAACTACAACAATCTTTACATCATGAAGGCGACCTTTTTAGGAGGAGCGTTATTATAAGTTTATCCTAATGATGATGATCTCCCACATTTGGTGAATGCAGATGCAGTCAAGAAATACTATGTGTAAAAAAAAAAGAGAGAGAGAGAGAGAGAGAGAAAAAGAGGCTAGGCTAAAAACCAAATAGGGCAATTTAGACAAAACAAAGAAAAGTGTTCATAATGAGGAAGTAAAGAATCCAATGATGAAAGGTTATCTTTCTTTATCCTTTACACATGAAATCATCCCTAGAAACCTACTTTGAGCCAAAAGAAAAGCCAATCGTCTAACTTATAAAAGCCAAGATGATTTTTCTTTCTAAATTGTCCTACATCAAGAGCCTGGGGTGAGAAGAGTGTTAGTAAAAGGATTCAATGGGAAAGGGAATTTTGAGCCATTTTATCCTTTCTTTCTAATTAGCTAAGCCTTAAACCACGATACAAGCCAATTTAAAGTCCTTATCAGAGGATTTGTAGCTTGCTCATCATGAACACATAAAAAAAAAAAAAAAAGGAAAGAAAGAAGAAGAAATGGGTGCAAGGTCTAAGTTAAAAACCTGAAAGGGCAACTTAGGCTAATGACAGCAAGAAGATCAAATGAAAGAAGATAATCAAGAGGGAAGTTTTCAGTGTGGCAGTGATCCATGAAAAGGGAACAAAGACTGAGTCATTGATCTTAGCATAAAAAGGGATGTCTTTTCAATGTGTTAAAGAAGGAATGATATCACTATTGAGGAAGAATTGTTGAGCAAGCTTTTCATACCTTTTAGTTGCTATATGTATCAAAACTTTCTTCATACCTGACTCATTATTTCATGTCTTCCTAATAAATTACAAAAAATTCCTTTCCATATTAATCTTTCATTTCCATGCTTTCATTGGGAACGTTAAATAGTCAAAAGCTTGATGCTTCATTTAATATGATTATTTTAATCAATATTGCCTTTAATACATTAAAGATTTTTGATAGTCACAAGAAGATTTGAAGCTGTCAAATGTTCAAAAAAATATTGAAGCTAGTAGAATGATCATTACCAATTGGAAAGAAGAAATGAAGTTTGCATCTCAAAGAAAAGAAAGATGAAGTTGGCGTCTTGGAAAATTACATCTCGCAAAAAAATAAGATGAAGAGAACTTTTTAGAAGCCACATCCTAGATGAAGACCACATCTCAGGAAGAAAAAGGATGAAGACCGCATCTCACAAAAAATAAGATGAAGATCACATCTTAGAAGGCACATCCTAGATGAAGACCACATCTCAAGAAGAAAGAGGATGAAGACCGCATCTCACAAAAAATAAGATGAAGATTGCATCTTAGAAGTCACATCCTAGATGAAGACCACATCTCAAGAAGAAAGTAAGATAAAGAACACATCTCGTCAAAGAAAAGATGAAGACCACATCATAGAAGTCACATCCTAGATGAAGATTGCATCTAAGGAAGAAAGGGAGATGAAGACTGCATCTTAGAAGTCACATCCTAGATGGAGACCACATCTCAAGAAGAAGAAGAGATGAAGACCGCATCTCGCAAAAAAATAAGATGAAGACCGCATCTTAGAAGCCACATCCTAGATGAAGATCACATCTTAGGAAGAAAGGAAGAGGAAGACCGTATCTTGCAAAAAATAAGATGAAGACTGTATCTTAGAAGTCACATCCTAGATGAAGACTGCATCTAAGGAAGAAAAGGAGATGAAGACCACATCTTGCCAAAGATAAGATGAAGACCGCATCTTAGAAGTCACATCCCAGATGAAGACCACATTTAAGGAAAAAGAAGAGATGAAGACTACATCTTGCAAAAAAATAAGATGAAGAGGGCATCTTAGGAAGAAAGAGAGTTGAAGACTGCATCTTAGGAAGAAAGAGAGATGAAGATCGCATCTTGCAAAAAAAAAGATGAAAACTGCATCTTAGAAGTCACATCCTAGATGAAGACCGCATCTTGCCAAAGATAAGATGAAGTTCACATCTTAGAAGTCACATCCTAGATGAAGACCGCATCTTGCCAAAGATAAGATGAAGTTCACATCTTAGAAGTCACATCCTAGATGAAGACTGCATCTCAAGAAGAAGGAGAAATGAAGACCGCATCTCACAAAAGAAAAGATGAACACTGCATTTTAAAAGTCACATTTTAGATGAAGATCACATCTCATGAAGAAGAAGAGATGAAGACTACATCTCGCAAAAATAAGATGAAGACTGCATCTTAGAAGCCACATCCTAGATGAAGACCGCATCTCAAGAAGAAGAAGATGAAGACAACATCTTAGAAGTCACTTCTTAGACTGCACCTCAAGAAAGAAGATGAGATCTTTCCTATTATTCTTTTGGGTTATTCTTTATTCTTTACTTTTCTTTTATAAAAAGGAAAAGTAAAGAGGGGGCAACTGTCATAACCCAATTTTTTTCAGGGGCAAAGTGATAAGGTTAGAAATCTATGCACTACTTTTGTAAAAACAGGAAACCTAAAGGACTGAGGGGAAGAGTTAGCAAAATGAGATCGTTTTGCTTAAAGTTTGAAAAAATAAAAAAAAGGGGGGGGTTGGGTTTAGATAAACCCTTGCCCCAACTTTCACGATTCTTCTTCTTGTCGTTAGCCACTATCCCAAAATTCCCAAATTCTTTCAATTTCTCCCTAAATCTACTCAATTCAGGATAGGTTACTACATCAATATGAAGGAATATCCAAATTTGAAGTCTTGATCAAGAACTGGAGAAGAAGTTTTTGAAATCGATTCAAATTGGGAGTCCTGATCTTTAAAAGGTCTGAATCTAGCCTTGAAAGAGGGAAGATGTGCAAAGGAATAGATTTGTTTTAGAATTCCAATTTCGAATAGGGCTAGATCATTATTTGTAATTTTGGGGATTGAGATTAGAATTTACAATTAGAAAAGGATTAGGGTTCTTTATTTCGGTATGAAAAAGGGGGGCTTTCGGCTTCTAAGGGCATTCGAAAATGGAGGGAGAAGGGGAGCAAAGGAAGGAAGAAATCTTGTATTTGAAGTTTACAGCAAATAAATAAATTGGCTTTTCTCCACCACAGGTGTGTTTTTTTTTTTATATATATAGAAGAATTTGGATCTTAAGTCTTAATTTTCTCTATCTGTTTTTTTTTCTTCGCATCTTTTGTTTCTTAGTCGCTATATTAATCTGTTCGGTTTGAGAAGATTTTTATTGGGTACATTCTTCATCCGCTTTTCTCCAGTTCTGCTCATCCCCCTAGTTTCATGGCTTTTTTTTTTTTTTTTTTTATCAAAGTAGTTTAGCAGAACCGATTACCATTGTTAAGTTAGTCATTATTTTTCTTCCCCTAAACTTGGATTTGAAAGTTTCTGATTGGGTGATGATCTGGGTATTAATGAAATAGTTTTTTTTTTTGGCCTTGGTAATCTAAGATAATGAACATATATATAT